TCTTCATCACTTGCATTTATAACTTAAATTATTTTCTGAGATCCTCAAAGCTTATAAGCGTTCATATCCTCCGACCTTTATATACTTTAAACTATTCTTAGACCCTTAAAACCTGCCTAGACATTCATATCCTCAGACCTTTTTTTCAGACCCATATTTAAACCTTTATAACTTATTTCAACACTCATATCTTAGAACATTTTCTTAAAAATGTGCTAACAAGCTGGCTATAGCCTTGTGGGAGAATCTGGTTGCCCGATGCTGCCAAGCTGACAAAGTAATAGCCAGCCTAGCCATCAATACTACAGAAATCTTAGAAGGATAAAATTATACCTTAGTGCAGATGAAGCAGCTTCTGAATCTATTAAAAATGACAGGGACCATCCATTCTTAGTTAGCCATACCCAGGTCTCCATAGCGGTGGAGGCAGAAATATCAAAACAGTATAAATCTTCAGCCCCAAGTCCCCTAAGGGGAGAGTTTTTTGTTTGGCAGAAGGACAAGGGGAAAGCTGACCTTATTTGTCTAGGCCAAAGGGGTATAATCCATTCTCCAGTGTCCTGCTGCTTGTCCACAGTCTGGACTGTGTCCTGGAGGCAGGTGTTGCATCAGGGCTTCTTGCCCTGTGGTTAGCATTGCCATAATCCAAGTGGAGACATTGTTGTGCCCCATAATCTTCTTTGGAGACCTTGAGTCACTGCTAGGATCTGGGAGTCTCTGTCTGATATAATAAAATTTTTAATCAAGATTTTTAAATGCCATATTCTGCAGATTTCTGAAGTATGAGGGCTGTCGAAGTATATCTGAGTAGACAAACATTGTTTCTATTTACTTCTTTTAAGCTCAACCTTGAAAACACTTGCAAGGGACTAAGTAAAGCTCATACCTATCATTAATTACATCAGTCCCATAGCCTTATAAATTTAAATATTTTTAAAAGTGTTCTTAAAAAGGTTAAAGTCTCTCAGATGTCTTCCTGCAGTATCAAAAAAGTAATCTCTTTTACTTCAAGAGGAAGAAAACATGGCATAACCATAATCAGTATAAGGTAAAACCAAGCTCCAAAGTGCACACAATCCCCAAGTTCAACATCTTGGATTCATTCACAATCCTTTTAATTGTTTAATTTGGAGGCTTGGCCTAAATTATTTCTTGACCTCATCCTTGGAAGCATATACATAGCTTGCCTTCTGTGAGAGTCACTAGGACCTGAAGCTGGTCCTCAGCTGTCCTTGTGCATGGCACAACCAATCAGAGGACAGCTCTCCTGGTCCTCTGCCCTTGTCCATGTCCTTCTCCCTCTGCTTCCTTCCCCTGCCTTGACCCCATGTCTCCTCCCTGCTTTCCCTGCTCTGCACTCACCAAGCCTCCCTTTTGTCTCCCTGGAAACTGGCTCTCTAGCTTTCCCTGTGAGTGCAGGCTGCTGCCACCCTGCAGATTCAGCCTCAGGGTTCAAATCCCAGTCAGACTTCTGCTGCCTCTCAGGCTGCTGCTCTCCAGCTCTCAGATGCTCCTCTTACCTGATGGAGGGCTGAGCCCTTCTCAAAACCTGGGCACTTCCCACATGTGATGCATATACATTCAGGGAAAACACCCATATACATAAAATTAAATTAAATCTTTTTTTTAAATGCCAGCAGCATCAGGCTGTAGTGAAATATCATGCCTTTTCAATAATGAATTTTATCTGGCCTAAGCTTGTGTAGATCTTATACTCTTTGTCACAATCCCTGTGAGTTCATATGTGCGACTGCCCTGGTGTGTTCAGAAAATACAGTTTCCACCAAATCTGGCTCTTATACAGTCTTTTGCCCTGACTCCTCTCTTTTCTCAAAGTTCCTTGAGCCTTGGGTAGAGGGATGTGGTATGTCCCAATGAGGACTGAGGTGCCACAGTCTCTCATTCTCAGGACGTTGACCAGTTGAGCGACTCTGTTAATTGTCACCTGATGCAAGGAGAAGCAGCTCTGACCAGGTTGAGAGACGCACAGATCTGTGGGGACAGCAGTGAAGTTGTTAGAGTCACTTTAATTCTATGTCCATTAAGTAGAGGATGGGAGTGGATTTTCCTTAGGGCCTAGGATTGTCACACACAGGTTCTTGGACCCTTTAACAGTGCCAGGTGTGGGTTCCATCTCATGGAATGGGCCTTAGATTTTTTTGTCATTTTATCTATTTATTTTTAATATACATATTTAAAATTTGTATGTGTATGGGTGTTTTGCTTGCATATATATCTGTGTACCACATGCATGCTTGGTGCTCACAGAGGCCAGAAGAGGGTGTCATTGTGGTGAGCCACAAGAATATGTGGAATATAATGAGTCCATCAGTATATAATAAATTATACCTTGACTGATCAAGTGTCCTTCAAGTGGGAAGCCATTTATCATGGAATATTTGGTGTTATTCAGCTTTATTATTCAGCTGCTCCTTGTGATGAATTTCTTGTGCTCATAATCCCCATAGAACGTGTATGTGTGAGCATCCTGCTCAGGCCAGTATTTGGGTAAGTTCACAGAGGCAGGGCCTTCTGCCTCGAGCTCCCTGTTCTCCTTTAGCCATTGAATTGAGTATCTGACTTCTACAAATTTCCCCTTTAGCTAGGGCCAGCCCCAAACAAAGCATTGAAGGACTGGGAGGGGACAGAATAGCTGAGACCATCATTTGCCATCAGGTCTAGTGGCATTCCAGAGCAACTGACTGAGAACAAAGGAGGTTTTTGCATATCTAGGTGGTGTGAGAGGTGGAACAGGATTCCTGGGAGACAGAATAATGTGGCCAGAGAGAAGGGAGGAAGACAGAGATTCTGTAGAGGGTAAGGCAGATCTTCACAGAACAGCTACTATATTAAATGTCGAGGATTAGGCAGTGGTAGCACAAGCCTTATATCCTAGCATTCCAGAGACAGAGATCCTTTTGGATCTCTGTAAGTTCAAGGCCACAGTGTAAACAGAACCAGGCAGTGGTGACAGACACCTTTAATCCCAGCGCTTGAGATCTCATGTCTTGCTTGGGATAACGTGCCTTTAATCCCAGGAAGTAATGTCAGGGACATAAGGCATGAAAACCAGGAACTAGAGGTTTTTTAAACTTTTAGGTTTTTGAACAGCATTTCAGCAGAGATCCATTTGGATGAGGACTCAGAGGCTTCCAATTTGTGGAAACAGGATCGGCTGAGAATTTGGTGAGGTGATGTTAGCTGTGGCTTGTTCTGCTTCTCTGATCTTTCTAAGGCTTTAACCCAAATTTCTGGCTCCATATTTTTTACTAAATAAGACCATTTAGAAATTCATCTACAGAGAGGAACTGAATGTGAGGATGGAGCTGAAGCTGTGTAGACAGCTTTGTCATAGAGGAATAAAGTAAATGGATAAAGAGTTGGTGAATCTAGATTCATTACCCCGATGTTGGTAGCGTCTCTTCTGGGCCCCTGGGAAGAATATTATAAAGGCTGGTCCATGAATAATATTTGAGATGTCATAACCTCTGGAACTGGAGTTACAGGTGGTTGTGAGCCACCGTGTGAGCACTGGGAATAGAAACCCAGTCTTCTAGAAGAGCAGCAAGCTGTGCCAACTGCTGATCCATTCTTCCAGCCCCTTGACATTTCAGATTCAAATGTCCTAGGTAAGACTCAGAATTGTTCAGATTTGTTCAAGACCCATGTTGAACACACAGCTAACACAAGGCTGGAGTCCAAGTGTGACCTGAAAGTCCATATTCCTCATTCTATCCTTTCAGATGTTTTAAGCATAAGAATCCAGAAATCTGGCTTGTAAAACATCAGGATAGGTTGACTTAAAGGGACTCTAAACGTTGTCCTTTGTTCTCTTTAGGTCCCCAAAATATAAATAAATAAATTAAGAGGCCGGGCCGTGGGAACACACGCCTTTAATCCCAGCACTTGGGAGGCAGAGGCAAGTGGATCTCTGTGAGTTTGAAGCCAGCCTGGACTACTGAGTGAGTTCCAGGACAGGCTCCAAAGCTACACAGAGAAACCCTGTTGGAAAAACAAACAAACAAACAAACAAACAAACAAACAAAAAACTTAGCGTTTCTAAAACCAGGCCTCAGTGACCACTTACTTGAGGAGAAGGAAATTTAAGTTGTATCAAAGTGCCCTACCCCACCAGCTCCACACGGGGCTTGTCCATGGGGAAAGGAAAGTCCTGGACCTCAGGAGCCCCTGACCCAGGAGGCAGCAAGGATCCCCCCCTGAGGATGATGGTTCCAGTGATCTGGACTTGGAACAACTCATGGAGGACATTGGGGAGGCAGAGGAGAGAGGGGAGTCCCAGCAGAGGGATGGCTCAGAGGAGTTCCTGGCGGGTCTCTTTGAGGAGTAGTGTGCTCTGGTCCTTCTACAATTCACAGCCTCTCAGTGATCCTGAGCAGATGTTGAATGTCGGGATTGGTGACCTGCTCCATGCTTCAGGTCAGAGCTGTGCACCATGGGTAATAAAGCAGGTCTCTGGGGTCACTGTTTAGGCTGGGCTTCCTTTCATGTCACTATGGCAACCTGCCTTCTCTGGAGGGTATAGGAGGCTGGGGACAGCAGCAGGACCCAGGCCTGGGGAACCTTCAGAAAAGCATCTCTGTGAGTCCTGGCTCCCCAACTTCCTGGGAGCAACATGGCCTTCGGAAAGCATTGTGACCATCTGGTGTTTAGTTCCCTGTCTCACACATCTATCTAGGGTTGCTGCTGATGTCCAGTGTGGTGGTCCATGGGAACCAGTCACAGAGTGTGCTGGTTATTACCCTCCCAGATGTGGGTGTACATCATGTAGACTGGCTGCCAGCATTTGGGGCATCCCCTGCCTTGGGCAGCTAGAAAAAAGTGATAGAGGAGGGGATCTTAGAGGGCCAGAAGTTAAGGGTCACATGAATGACTCTTAATTAGATTCATTTAGGCAAATTCTGTGGATTTTTTTTTTATTTTTGTGAGAAAGGTCTAGGAAGTTAGAAAAGGGAACTGGGAATTTCTGATTTTCTCTCAGCTCAAACGCCCTGACGTGTGGATTTCTGTCTCTGGCCATGGGTATCAGAGACCCAAGAGATTTTGTCTCTGGCTGTGGGTATTAGTGGAAGCTGGGAGTCTTCCTACTAGAAACACAGGTGACTCTGAGATCGTCACCCAGACCCACTCATTTGGCCTTTATGATGGAGTACACAGTCTCTTCCTGGGGGTTCCCATGGACGGGCTGGCAGGGTGGTGTTCCTGGAGAGGCTGAGCTTGAGAGGGCAATGGAGGCGTACACGATGTTGTTATCCTGTGGGGACAAGAGGTTAGATGACAGCAGTGCAGCTGTGGCCACCATAAAGCAGCAGCTGCAGCCTGAGTGTCCTGCCCACACCTGCAGCAGCTGCAGCCTGAGTGTCCTGCCCACACCTGCAGCAGCTGCAGCCTGAGTGTCCTGCCCACACCTGCAGCAGCTGCAGCCTGAGTGTCCTGCCCACACCTTCAGCAGCTGCAGCCTGAGTGTCCTGCCCACACCTGCAGCAGCTGCAGCCTGAGTGTCCTGCCCACACCTGCAGCAGCTGCAGCCTGAGTGTCCTGCCCACACCTGCAGCCTCCCCCCTTCTGCCTCCTTCTTCAATATCCCTTTAACTTCCCTCAGGCCTGACTCTGAGTGGCTTACCTTGGGGTTCTCTTTGGGGTCCATATATTGCCCTAGAGAAAAAAGAATATGGAGTGCTGAAGTTAAGCTGTGACAGGAAGGGAGACAGATGGCTGGGAGTTCCAACAGTGAGGTGAGGACCTTGGTTACATGGGAGGGACAGGGTGATGGAGGGAAAGGTGGAAATACTGAGGGATGCTTATGTAAGTGTGGGGTCTTGGGAGAAGAAGGCAGAGCCAGGTGGGGAAACAGGAAGCTGGCAGAATTTACCTTCAGGTTCAACCTTCTCAGTGTTTTCAATGAGGTCCCTGCATAGGAACAAATGGACAACATATCAGAATCTGGACAGGAAAAGGTTAAGACATTAGGTGCTGGGCTGCAGAGATGGCTCAGTTAGGAAAGTAAGTGTCACATAAACAGGAAGTCCTGATTGCAGACCCAGGACCCACAGAACGCTGGATGCTGGAGAAGCAGAGACAGGCAGATAAATCCCTGGAGTTCACTGGCCTGGACTAACAGATGAGCTCTAGAGTCAGGGTCAGACCCTGTCTCAAAAGATAGAGTGGAGGGCTGGAGAGATGGTTCAGCTGGCAAAGTGCCCACTTCACAAACACGAAGACCCAGATTTAGATCCCCAAGGACCGATGTGAAAAAAAGCTGGACACGATGTGCCTGTAGAGTGGGGTGGAGAGAGGAGGATCCCTGAAGCTCATTTGGTCTGGGCATCCTGGCTCAACTGATGCGCTTCAGGTTAATGAGAGACCCTGCCTGAGGGGAGTCACCACATAGACTCTGGCCTCCACACACATGCACAGGTGCGCGCACACACACACACACATACAAACATACATGCAGGATACAAAACAGAATGGAGAGTAACTGAGAGACACACCATTGATCTCTGGCTTCCACACACCTGGGCACATGTGGATGTGCACCTACATATGTATACACACAGGAAAAGTAACAACACATACAGAACTGGGTATGGTGGTGCATGCTTGTAACCTCAGTGCTCAGGAGGTGGGGACTCCTGTGTTCACTGGCCAACCAACCTGGTCTAACTGGTGAGTTCCAGACCAGTGGGAGACCCTGTCTGAACCAAACCAAAGAAAAACAACAACAAAACCCAAAACCCAAGGTGAAATGACTTTGTGGGTAAGGCCAGACCATGAAGACTGACAACCTGAGTTTCATCCCAAGGATCCACAAGGTGGAAGGAAAGAGAAAGCTCTCAGAAATTGTCCTGTGACCTCCCATGTGGGCCATGTCAACTCATACCCACACACATGTATGCACACTCACACAAACAAATAAAACGTAATAAAATAATTATTTAAAAGAGTGGATGGCACCTGAGAACAAACACAGACACACTCACTCACTCACACACACACACACACACACACACACACACACACACACACACAAGAGACTGGTTCCCTCTGAATGGTCTCTGCCATCCTCAGTGACTCAAGATGACATGATGGTGTTCCGCCAAAGGAAGAGACCTTTCCTGGAAGTGGAATGAAAAGCCATTGGGAAAGTGCCCAGGCCGAGGTCTCTCAGCACTAGCTGAGGGGAGTCATTCTAGGAAATCGGCTTGCCCTGGGCAGGAACAGAGACTAGAAATAGGAAGAAGCAAGTCTATCCTCTCTCACTACCCTGAAAACTAGAAGACAAGAAAGTTTCAGATCTCCTGGGTAGGTGCTCTGGCTGGGTTGGAGGAAGAAAGGACCTGAGATGGGACTGGAGGAAGGGCATCTGGCCAAAGAAGCCACAGGGAGAGGAGAGATGGAGGGAGCTGGGATGCTTGAGTTATCTGCACAAGGCCCTGGTTCCCATCCCAGCACCTCATAAACCCGGTGTGGTACAATGCCTGTCCTTCCAACAGTTGGGAGGTGGAGGCAAAAGATCAGAAGTTCAAGGTCATCTTGGCTTCATAGTGAGTTCAAGGCCAGCCTGGACTAAATGAGACCCTGTTTCAGAAAAAAAGGGTTGGAGGAGGAAGGGTGAGAGCAGGCCATGTACAGTAGGAAAAGAAGAGGCAGGGGAGAAGGGTGGAGAGGTTGGGAGGTGGATAGAAATGGGCAGAGATGTGGAAGATCTGGAACAAAGGATTCTGGGGGAGCGGGGCTCACTGACCATAGAGACAGACAGAGAGAAGGAAGGAAAAGATGGGAGAACTGTTGAATCCAGGCGGATGTTCAAGGCTGAGAGGAACCAGAGACAGAGAGGGAAGCCCAGGAAATGGAAGGAGAGAGGGAGGAAGTCTGAGGCCTAAAGGGGGTGTTGTTCTGGGAAGGAGACTCCTGAGACCCTCTGCACTCCTTGTCACTGAGAATCTGGTGCCCTGAGGAGCCTGAGGTCATAGAGGACAAGGAGGGAGCAGACAGGATGAGTCAGTCGTTAGGGAGATGTGAAGAGTCCTGAGTGTGGTTCTCCTTTTTTTATGTTATTTGAAGGGGATGGAGAGATGGCTCAGTGGTTAAGAGCACTGACTGCTCTCACAGAGGACCCGGATGGTGCTCACCTGGCTGGGGTTTCGGCTTTAGTCCTCTGTCCTGTGGGGAAGAAACAGTGTCAGTGTGACATCAGTGCTGATCCTCCATCATCCCTCTCAGCTGTCCTGTGTGTTCAGACCACCTTCAGAGGACAGGGGAGCAGAGAACCTGCCCCAGGCAGTCTAGAGGAGCCTGAGCTCCCTCTGCTGGGCTGTGTCCTACACAGCAACCTCCCCAGATCTCTGCTAGGTCCATGTCCACCCCTGTCTCCTCTGCTTCCTTCACCAACCTTGAGTTCCCCGCACTCCACACCTGCCTCATCTACTCTGCATTCATCTACCTTCCTTTGTGTGCCTTTAGAGACCGCCTTTTTCTGGATTATATTTCACTCTACTGATCTATTTGTCCTGGTGCATACTATTCTCTTTTCATTTAGTGTAGCTTTTTAAAATTGTCACTTATTTATTATATGGTCGGGGGTGTGCCACAGTTTGTATGGAAGTCAGAGGACAACTTGCAGGAGTTGATTTTTTCCACCATGTGGCTCCCAGGCTTCCACACTGACTCACTTTACCCTCTGACGGCTACTGTAGCTTTTAAAAAAATCTATTGTTCATTCATTTCTTTATATTTATTTAGCTACTGTAGCTCTAAAAGTTTTTTGTTGATGTTGTTTTGTTTTGCTTTGCTTTAAGAAAATTATCTGCACCTCTTTTGGTGTGGATGCCATGAGAGCAGATGCCTGTGGGATTCAGGAGAGGGCTTCGATCGATATGGCTGCAGCCAGAGTTACAGGCGGTGGTAAACTGCCTGATGTGGGTTTTGGAGCAGAACTCAGGTTCTCTGCCAGAGCAGCCAGTGCTCTTAACTGCGGAGCCATCCCTCCAGCTTCCTGTTGGAACTTTGATAAACTCTGGGATCAGGCAGCGGGAGTGCTACATTATTGGCCATTTTTGTTATTTCATCTCATTTTGTTTTCCAGAATGTACATGAATTTGAGAAGATGAATTGTTTTTACAAAACTCCCATTGTAGTTTAGATAGGAATTATATTGAGTTCATTAATTATTTTTGTAGTACGGACATCTTTTTTTTAAAAAAAAAAAGCCTTAACTCATTTTCATTGTATGACTGTTTGCCTGCTGGTATGTCCGATTGCCACACAAGTGTCTGGTCCCTGTGGCAGTCAGAAGAGGGCGTCAGATCCCCTGGAACAGCAGTTACAGGTTATTGTGAAACATTGCATGGGTGCTGGAATCAAAGCCTGGTCCTCTGCAAGAGCAGCCAGTGCTCTTAACCAATGAGTCATCTCTCCAGCCTCCTAATATAGACATCGTAACTAATTTTTCCACTTTAAGAATGAGATGATTCCTACTCATCCGCTTCCTCTCTCATTCAACAATGTCAGCCACTGTGTTTTGAGAACAAGTCATTTGGTGCCTTAGGTTCCCTAACTGTTTTTCCCTAACTATTTTTCCCCCTTTTTTTGAGACCGAGTTTCTCTGTGTAGTTTTTTTTGGGTGTCCTGGAGCTTTCTCTGTAGTACAGGCTGGCCTCGAACTCACAGAGATCTGCCTGACTCTGCCTCCTGTGTGACAGGATTAAAGGCGTGTGCCACTGTCCACTGGCCTTCCCTAAGTGTTTTTAGATTATAATTTTAGTTTTAGAGATTTATTTTCATTTGTGTGTGTATATGTGTGTGCATGACTGTGTATGCCATCCTGTTCCCATGGCGAGGGGGTGGGGGTGGGACCAGAAGAGAGCCCTGGGTGCCTGAAGCTAGACTTAGAGGAGGTTGTGAGCTGCTCCATATGGGTGCTGGGAACTGAACTTGGGTCCTCTGCCACAGCAGCCAGTGCTCTTAACTCCTGAACCATCTCTCTCTTTTTTTCTTTTGACTTATAAATACACTTTGTTTGTTTGTTTGTTTGTTTTTTGACAGCTCTGTGAGATCCACACAGGCACGTCTAATATATCCCCAACTCAGCTGGTTAGCCTACTCCTAACTAACCCAAACAATTAAATTGTTTTCATTTTTTAATTGTTTGGGTTAGGTTAGGGTTAGATTTGAATGAAAAATCTTCATAACAGGCTCATCTATTTGAAATCTTTGTCGAATTTGGGAGGTTATTGACCATTTAGGAAGTGCAGCCTTCTGGAAGAGTTATGAGTCACTGGAGGTGAGTTTTGAGAACGTATTGCTCTCCCTCACTTCCAGCTTTCTCCCTGGGTTTTCTGCATGTGTTGAAGATGTGACTTCTCAGTGTCCTGCTTCAGCTGCCCCTCCACTATTAACCTTCCTTCTGGATCCGCAAGCCAAATCCAATTCTTCCTTCCACAAGTTACTTTTGTTTATGATGTTTTATCACCGCAGTGGAGAAGTAACCGCCATTACACACTCTCAAACACACTTCCTGTTTCAGTCCCTATATGGCTTGGTTGTTTCACCAGAGTGTTTCTCAACACACTCAGACTTGTTCCTGTTCCCTGTCCCCATGTCATCCATCTAATCACTGAGTGTTGGTTTGAAGTCTTCCGCACCCAAGGACGACTTTGAACTACTGATCCTCCTGTCTGCCCCTTCCACACTCTGGAGTTACAGACATGCACTACCACACCAGGCTCATCACAAAGTCTGAAAACTTTTGCCTCGACATATTCCCGGGACTGACCATTCATCTTCATGTGCAGCCCCACTGTGGCAAAGTGACACAGCCTGGTCCCCCTCCAGTCTGTTCTCTGCACCCTAAGACTGTAATGTCAGAATCCAGCTGCTGAACAGGCCACAGCACCGCCCTTCACCTCTCACAGAGACACTGCCCAGAAACTGTTCTCTCTAGCTGACCTGCTTCCATCCAGGTCTAAGGTTAGAGGACCATGTCCAGGACTCAAGCACTTTCCTGACTCAGCTATCCCTGAGCCCTTGCATCTGCCCTGTCACAATCCCCTTTGAGGACTCTGTTGATGGGGTGCAGTCTTGGACCACTTACTTTTCCTTCTCCTCCACCCGAGGAACACTATCAATCCCAAAACGCCAGCCAGGAGTACAGCAGCAGCCACTGCCAACCCAACTTTGGTTCCCAGATTCAGGGGCTGATTCTTCCCACTCTTCTTCCATTCTGTACCTGTAAAAGCAGTTCTGGTGAGTGCAGAATTTGCAGTAATAGGGCTTGGAGAGGTGGTCTTGGGGGCTGGGAAGAGACGAAGGAAGTCAGCATTGAAGGTGATTGGGAAGTGTAAGCCAAATAAACCTTTTCTTCCCTAAATTCTTTGGTCATGGAGTTTTTTTTTTTTTACAGCAATAAAAACTCGAACTAGGACACCTGCTGCCTCTGAATCCCAAGTCATGGGCTCTGTTCTAGTTTCACATCCTCTATTGAATCCTCATAGAGTCCCTGCTATGGGATGATTTCTGTCCAGGATGCTGCAATCAGTCTCCTGCAGTGCCAACTCCATTTCCCCCAATAGCAGTGACTGGACCCTGCAGCCATGCTGCTATCACAGGGGTCGGGCACTTCCTGTGGAAGAGCAGTGTGGGGCTTTGGTGTAAGTGGAAGTTTCTGTCCCTTCAGTGCTCCCAAATACCTGGCAGCTGCTTCCCAAATTAACACTCAGAGACTTACATAATTAATATACATTATATTATATATATTAATACAATTATATATAAATTCTCCGCTGGTAGCTCAGGCTTATTACTAACTTGCTCTTACACTTAAATTAACCCATAATTCTTATCCATGTTTAACTTGGTATCTTTTCTTAGTAGGGCAGTCTCATTTTGTGTCTTCTGCATCTGCCTGAGGACTCCTGACTCAACCCTTCCTCTTCCCAGCATCCTCAGGGACCTGTGTGTGTTGCCATGCACTTGTAATCCCAGCACTTCAAGGGGAAAATAGGCAGATCCCTGTGGCTCACCGACAGCTGTCCTAGCCCACTTTATAAGTTCAGCCCAGAGAAAGACCCATCAAAGGAAACATAGGAAGAGAGAGAAAGAGAGAGAGAGAGAGAGAGAGAGAGAGAGAGAGAGAGAGAGAGAGAGAGAGAGAGAGATCACTAGGGGTCTTTTTGCTTAGACATGAAAGAGAAAACGTGCAAAGGAGAGTACTATTGATTTGGCTACAAAATTGAAATTATGGAAAGAGAATTAATAAGCCAACCACAGGGTTCTTTTTAAAACATGTTGCACATATTTCTCCGGGTGTGATATCTTTGTCCTAAATGAGGATATTTTGCTCAGATAAACCATTTTTTTTTGAGGTCTGTGGATGCAGCTCAGTGGTAGAGTGCTTGCCTAGGGTGCCCGAGGCCCTGAGTCCATCTCAAGCAATGGATACAGGTGTGGTGAAACGCCCTTTTGGTCCCAGCTCTTGGGAAAGAGTTCAAGGCCATCTTTAGTTATACAGTAAATTTGAGACCTGCATGGACACATGAGACTCTGTCTTCAAGAAATGGAAAAAAAAAAGAAAAATGCCTTCATAATGTTAATTTTAATATTTTAAAAACAATGGGCAGGAATATTCAGTTAATGAATTAATTTTTAAAATTAGTGATGAAAAAATTCTGATGGAAGAACTCATAGTGGAGGTGAGGTGTAAGTCAATGACAGAGCCCTTGTCTAGTGTGCACGTGGCCCTGGGGACAAGAGAATAAAACATGGTGTGTCTGTCTGAAGCAGAGAAAGGCATGGCTGCCTTAAATTGATCGTTCTACAAGCACCTAACAGATTATCACCAAGGCTGGAGACTTTGGGAAAGGAGGAAGAGGGAGGAGGTTGAAGAACAGGAGCCATTTAGGAAAACATGTAGGAGACACAAGAAATGCAGATGTAAGGTGTCTGTCAGGTCTGTCTGTGGAGTTTATCCTGAACCATCTCAGGAGTTAAGATGGTTAAGTGGTTTGCCCGGGGGAGGCTGGAGGGTCTAACCTGGAAGGGACAAACCCACTTATCACTGGTACTGATGAGAATTGGCAATGAAATTAATGATGATTGTTATTTAACTATTAATTTTATATTTTATTTTCTAAAATTTATTTTTTTATTAAATTTTTGCACACGCACAATGGTGCATGAATGTGTGTGTGTGTGTGTGTGTGTGTGTGTGTGTGTGTGTGTGTCTCAGAGGTTAACCTTGTGTGTTCCTTCCTCAGATGTCATACACCTTATTCGTAAGACAGACCATGTGACCACCTGTAACTGCAACACCATGGGAGATGGAGACAAGAGGATCAATGGGTCTCCACAGCCCATCATCCTAGCCCAACACAGTGAGCTCCAGGTTCAGTGAGAGACCCTGCCTCAAGGGAATAAGGTGGGTCTTAGTATAGGAGGACTCCTAATGTCCATCCTCCTCTTGTCTTCCCAAGCACAAAAATGAAATACATGTCCCCCCCACGTGAACCCACACAAACACACACACAAGCACACACACACACACACACACACACACACACACACACACACACACACATTTACACCATATATACTCATCCACAAAATCAAGACAGAAGAGAGGCACGCAAGAGCGTGAACTCCACAGAGGCCACGTGTCTACTGGTTGAGAGATGTTTGGAGGAAAAGGTCCCTTTCGGGGCCTGTTCCTCACCAGCATGACCTTGGGCAGGTGTTGAATTCTGCTGATCTCTGTGTCTCTCTGTATAATGACCATGAGAGTGCCCAGCAGTGGTGACGGGTGGCCGGGGTAATGTCCACACAGTGACTAGGCTGGGTCTCTGTGCACTCTGTGTGGAAGCTGCAGTTACAGTTGCCATGGAGGAGGAGAAGTGACCAGAGAACCTGATCATGGTGTGAACATGAGGGTCTGTGTGGGAAAGATGGGGGATGGGGAGGGAGGAGGGGAAGAGGGAAATGAGGGAGGGAAAAAAGAAACTGGGGCAGGGAGAGGTGAGGGATGTGTCTAGAGACTGGTAAAGTGGGGGGACCCAGAGGAGGAGGGGTTCACGTGGCCAGAAGGCACCTACTCTGGAAGGCACGAGATATGGTGTAAAGTCTAGATCTAACGGAGACCCTGACACGGGACCAGGTGAAGGCCGCTCCGTCCTGGAGAGGTCAGATCCACCTGGATTTGTGTCAACGAGGGTGGGATGGGCACATGAGAGGCAGCTCAGAGAGAGCAGCTAACGCTTGTGGATGGTTGTGGGGAAGAGGAAAGGTGGAGTTGTCAGAGCTCTGGGGAGGGGACAGAACACATGAGAGGAATCTGAGGAAAGGGTCAGAAGTGTAGGATCCATAATGACGGCACAAGGAAGCCAGAACCACCAGGGCCTGACTGGGATGTGCTCACCATGGGTGATGGTGAGGTGGGTTCCAGGAATCGACTGCCACTTCTCCGTGTGGGTTATTGTGTTCAGTTGAACTCGGCAGAAGTACATTGTCTGGTCCTTCTCCTTCAAGTCTAGGATTCTGAGGACTCCGGATGTCTGAGGCTGTGTCCAGCTCAATACAAGGCGATCCTTGAAGTGCTCGTGTATGAAACCCGAGGAGGAGTTGTAGATAAATTCCCCATGGAAGTGCTTCCATCTCCAGTAAATCGTCATCTGTGGGTCCTTTGCCAACTCCCAGGTGAAGTAGAAGGAGAAGGGGATCTCGATGGAGCCGCCCTGGACACCAGAGAGGCGGGCTGTTTGGTTGACCCCAAAATCCTTTACTTTGTTGGATCCTGCTGAGTTACCTGGGAGGGATGGGGAGAATCTAAGTCACTGCAGAGAATGGAAAAGAAAACTCAGGATGGCCTAAGCCTTCACCCACAGGAGGGTATTTGACACAGGGCAGGGCTGTCACTATGTTTCACTGTCCTATATGGACAGGACAGACAAGGAAGGGTTGGGATGGACCCACTCTGAGGATGAGCTCTCTCTTGGGGCACAGAGGACTGGCTGACTCCTCCAGCAGACACCTGTCCACATGACAGCCTGCTCTTCCCAGCCCCACTGACCCCTCCTGTGGTTAGGACAGAGTCCCTGCTAACAAGGTCCCCAAACTCACCAGCTTGCAGATATGCAGGTGACAGCCACAGAAGCAGGATCCAAGTCATGGCCTGATTCCCTCCAGGAAGTGAGACCAGCAGAGCAATCAGGCTGAGAGAAGGACCTGTGAGAGACACTGGGGTGCTCAGGAGTCAGGAAGAATCAGGGTAAAATGACCCACATCCACAGGGGCTTCTCCTGTGGAGGACAGAATGGGGCAGGACCTCCCCATCTCCACCTCCTTGTGACCAGCAACTTCCTTCATCATTCTGGCTTCTTCTTTCCCACGCTGCAGAAGATCCGCCCTGTGATCACTGAGAGGATGGCCATGCCCTTGAGCCCAGCCCCCATTATTGACAGGAAGATATGGAATTGACCTCACCATGCCGGGCTCTCCTCTCTTCCACCTTGACCTCCTGTCTTATCCAGTCTTGTCCATTTCCCATGTGGCCTGTAATCACTGGTTCCTCACCTCCAGATTCCTCCACTCCTGCCCTCCTCTTCCTCATCTGTTTCTCATTTTGTATCCCACTATGCTGGTCTCTCTCTCTCTCTCTCTCTCTCTCTCTCTCTCTCTCTCTCTCTCTCTCCTTCTCCCCTCCCTTCTTCCTTCCCTCCCTCCTTCCCTGTCTCCCCCTCTCTCTAATAACCTCAGGCACAGAAGTGGTCAGTTTCTGCTCACTTCAGACACAACGAGTATGGAGGTGATGAGGAAACACATTCTGTCCCCAGCCCTAGCTCGGTGTCCCCACCACCATCTGCTCTTTGTCTTCTTCTTGTCCTTCAGGAACTCTTCACAGCACCCGACAGAACCAAGGCCCTGAGACACTCTCTTCCTGGCCTGCTCACTGCTGCCGAGTCTGTAACTACCCTGGGCTTCCTGGGTGGTCGTCTCCCTCCCCTAGACAGTGACTCCAAACTACTCCAGTTTCTATAGGAAACTTTCTACATCCCACCAACCTTCACACACCTCAGTAGAGGATGCCAAGGATCAGCGAAGCCCTGTCATATGTCACATGACTGCCCCATGGCAGGTTGACTGGACTTCATCCCATCAAGTACTTGTAGTCCTCCACTCCACACAGATTTCAGCCTGCCTGCTCCATGCATTCTCTGCACTCTCCTCAAAGGCCATGGATCTGCTTCCGGGTTCCCAGGAGGCTGTTCCCAAAAAGCACTTGAATGACTTTTTCTAGCTGTGACTGCTCTAGAACCTTCTTTGGATGAAGTGAGCAATGAAAGGTCAGACCAGCAATGCATCCCTTATAACATATTGCCTGGGACATCTCTGAGTGTGGACACAACTGGCCTGTTACTGGGGTGAAGGGGTGAGACATGGGGCGGAGGTTGTCTGGACTCAGGGCTGGTTCTGTAGGAGGGTCATCCTTCCCTTTCCTCATGACATGGTTCCACCAGTTCCGTGGTAGACAAATTTGTAGCAGAGGAAGTGGCATCATTCTCCCTGAGTGACATGTGCAGAGGCGACTTCCCATTTCCTTAGATTCCTGCACTGAAGGCCTTCTCCATGCTTCCCTGCAGGGGCCTGTGCAGCCGCCTCTGTCACATCTGCTGTCTCTGCCTTCCTCACAGTCCCCATGGTCCTCATATCCCTTGACCTGAGCCAGGCTCAAACAGTCATGGCCTCAGTCCCAGGTGCACATGGAAAACACTTCTATATCCATCCATCCTGCCCTTGGAGACTCAGAGACACAGAATTCTTGGGATAAGTTGGCCCTAGATGGCTAGTCAGGAGAGGGGATGGGACTTATTTTAAATGTCAGAAAGACCACCCCCTCACTTTATTGGATGGGTTCTCATTTAGCCAAGGCTGGGCCTTGAACTTGTTATGTAGACAATGATGACCTCAAACTCCTACAGATCCCTCTTCTCTGCGCATCCAAGTGATGGAGTGACAGGTGTGTCCCATCATGCCCCTTGTCTCCTGCTGGAGATAGAACCCAGGGTTCTGTGTGTGCCAGGCAGGTAAGCACTCTACCAGACGAACCACATTTTTCACCTCAGTGAGGTCTGAGAGGGGGCCCTCCTGGTCATGGATACTCACCTCCAGGCTTCATTTGCCCTACTCTCTGGGGTCTGTGGGTAAAAGGTCAGTGGTTTCTAAGTCACCAAAGAGGGGCTGGACCTGACGAGGCTGCCATATGTCAGCTGCTGGTCCCTAGCTTTTTAACAGGACTTGCTCTGGTTGGTCCTTCAGGAGCCTAGGTGCGACTTGTGCTCAGCCTCACTGCTGCCACCTGCTGGCCTCTGAATCCCAGGTCGAGGTCTGTGCTCTAGTTTCAAGTCCTGAACTCAGTTGCATCCCCTTAGGGACCCTGCTGTGGGATGATTTCTGTCTAAGATGCTGTAATCAGTCTCCTGCAGTGCCAACTCCATTCCCCCATTAACAGTGTCTGGGCCCTGCAGCCATGATACATTCAAAGGGGAGGGGCACTTTCTGTGGAAGAGCAGCCTGGGGCTTTGGGGTGTGCACAGGGCTTCTGCACACATGTGACCATGGGAGTGTCAGACTGCAGTGTGAGAACCTGGCTGCTGCTCAGGCTGTAGCACATGTGTGTCCTGCCCCCACAGAATAAAGAAGGAAGTGTAATTTTAAGTATTTAAACACAAGGTGGGCTGGACATAAGGATGCATTCCTTTAATTCTATTTTTTTTGGGGGGGGAGGCAGAGGGAGAGGCAAATGATTCTTTTTGAGTTCCATGCTATCCTGATCTACATATACAGTTCCAGGCCTGCAAGAGCTATACAGTTCCAGTTTCAAAAAACAAAAGCAATCAAAATAAAAAACAAAATTCAAAACAAAGAACATAAACCAGCAAAAAAGAACCAAAACCCACAAGGTGAATGGTGTCCTGAGTAGTAATGCCTGAGGTTGTCCTCTGGCTTCCACATACACAGACTCACTTGCAAACACTTGTACATGAACACAGACACACACAATCATGCAAGGCACCTTTCACAGCTGATCTGTCACAACATGTTTACTCAGTCCTCATCCTGAGCAAACATGGTCTCCCAAGCCAGGCTCTGTGACTCTTCAGACTCCAGTTCCTGACAGTGTCCTCAGCATTCAGACTCTGATTTTATACCCAGCTGTGTTTTCCCATAACAGTGGTGGCTGAGAACAGGCTCGGCCCTTTCTATTTCTGTGTGAAAAATCCAGTTCCAGAAACTTCCCTCAAATAACCCTCAGTGCAGACCCTGTCGGTCCTGACACACCAGATAACCTCATTGATGAAAACTGTTCATCTGTCCACACCTCCTGTCACACTAGTTTTCCTAGAACTCTTTGAATTCTTATTCTGAATGACAACATACAGACCCACAGTAACCTGTCCAGACTGTGTCCTGAGGAGAGTGGAGGAGATGCTAGAGAGGGTGCAAGGATGGCGGCTGGTGGTGTAGACAGGACACTCAGGCTGCACCTGAGACTTTACATTAGCACAGTTGCCCCGTCCCCATCTGACCTCTTCTTTCTCCCCTAGGATGAAATCATCATCTTCATCTCCCTCATGTGTTATCCAACATCAACATGGCACCTCCCTGCACCCCTGCCCAGGGGAGCCCCAAGAAGGGACTCTAAAGTGTCTTAAGGCTGAGTGAGCAGGGCTGGGTGACCAGCTCAGTCTCTTGCTCCTCTCCATGAATTCTCCCAGCTTCTGCAGATAGACAAGGCCGGAGGCAGAAACTTACATGTCACTGAGTTTGAGGTCACAGAAATGGAGAAACTCTCAATTTCCTCTTCAACACTATATATTGCTTAAATGAAACTATGAATAGTCACATGATTTGTTTGAGAGAATCTAAAGGAAAAACTGGTCATATCTTCAAGTTCTCTGTCTCCTACCAAAGTGAACTAACAGATATCCAGCCTCCACGACCTTGCCGACTCTTTGGATTTATGGTTAGCTTTCTGTTTGTTCAGTTTTGAAACAGAGTCTTATGTAGCCCAGGCTGACCTCAAGCTCAATAGGTACTAATGATAGCCTCTAATTCATGGTCTTGCTATCTCTACAGTCAATCATTGGGATTACAGGAATACGCCACCTTGCCTGGCTTCCTCTAGTACTTCTTTTAACTGACTGGCTCAGGCCTGGGAACCCAACTCCCAAATACTGGTAGCCATGCTGGAACCCATGTCTGCTCCCCATTCCAACAGTAATGTTCCTTCACCCTGAGGGGATTTGACCTAAACCTTGTTGAGATGGTTGGTGCTGTGAAGTCTTTGCTGTGGGCTCCTTTGCTGTTTCTCCCTTTTGAACAATGGATACTGACATGGCAAGTCACATGACCACTGGAGTAACAGCTTTGAGGCCCCTTCTTTGTGCCTAGGTGTCTGGAAGGAGGAGATGATGAATGGACACTCCCATAGATGACTGGCCAGACCATCATCCTGCAGCCTGCTGGTGTGAACACACCAGGGATGCTCAGAGGAGACACCACCCCAGCTGTCAAGATCACTGTGACCATGGCTGCTGCTGAGTTCAGCCTTAGGAGGCTTGGATCCAGTTACACCACTGCAGACATTTCACAGCTGCCTCAGGAGACTTCACTTCAGCCAAGAGAAGCCTGGGTCACTTCTCCATGACCCCTCCTATCTTCAGCTAGCCTCATGGGAATTGGGGAGAATTTCTTAATAGACTCAGCAAGTTGATATGCCATGAGACATGATTAGTAAGTGTGATGATATATTGTGCACCCCAATAATTTTTTTCTGGGGATCAGAGGACAGAGCCAGCCACTAGATTAGACATAGATGTCAGAATGTGATGGCACATATCCTTAATCCTATCACTGGGAGACAGTGATTTGTGTGGAGATCTGTCTGGATCTCTGTGAGTTCAAGACCACACTGGGAACAGAGCCAGGTGTGGTGAAATACACCCTTAATCCCAACACTTGAGATCTCATGCCTTTGCTTGGGAAGCATATATGCCTTTAATTCCAGGAAGTAAGATGGCTGGGCAGAGAAAGGTATGTAAGGCATGAAGAAACAGGAACTCACTGTCCTGAGACTGAGAATTTCCTAGAGGTAAGAGCTAGTGGCTGGCTTGTTCTATTCCTCTGATCTTTCAGCTTTCACCCCAATCACTGGCTCTGAGATTTTTTTTTTTATTAACAAGACCGTTCATCAATTTGTGCTAAAAAAAAAAAAAAAGTGTTGATAGCCCCAGGGACACACAGGAACAGCAACGTTGTGCTCTCAGGACCAGAGACAGACATAGGACATCAGAGCCCACATGGCAGAAGTGGGGGTTCTCTTCTTGTACCTATCCAAGGGCAGGATGTTTCACAGCACAAGACTGTACCCATGCTCTCTGATTCCCAGGCAGGAGACAGGAAAGTGATGAGATGCAGAATGAGTGGGCATGAATCCCCACTCTGACGTAAACTGACCTCCCTAGTGAGAGTTCATGGCCCCTGGAG